TCTAAATAATATAAAACAAAGTCACTTCCTGCCGTCTGTGCGCTTAGATCTTTTAAAATACGCAACGAAGGTTTTCATCAATAGACAGAAAATAATCCAAAAAAAAGTTTATATGTATAATACATGGATATTCTATATTATATCTATAATTCTTCTGTCCCTGTATGTGACTGACCTCCCCCTAAACGGCTGGACCGATTTTGATGACATTTTGTGTGTTTAATTAAGTTGATTAGATAATGGCTTAGATTCGCAATTGGCCCCGGTGGGTGGCGTTGTTGTTGAGATCTAGAAATTAACCGATCAGTAGTTAACTTATATGATACAAATTGTTATAATATCATTTCACATGCATTTTCGGTAGATCTCGTATTATCGTACTCTAATCCTGCCGCTATCCTCCAAATTTCAAAATTAGTTTATCTATTTATCAAATTGCTCTACCAAAAACTTCATTGTGGAGCACCAGAATGAAGAAACTTTAAGAATTTAACACTAAACGTGTTTCGCTCCGATTGTTTTACGCTGGCACATTACTTTTTGTGAAACTGTTGCGCACACAAAGCAACACGTGTTATCTTGTCACATGCATAATAAACAATGTCTTTTTAGTACTATAAATTATGTACGCCTTTTATTTATAAGAACATGTAAGAGTCGCTTCGCTACTGCGACTGAGAATTTATCTAGACTGCCTATAACTTGAAATATCCTATCCAAATTAATATTTCTGATGTCAATCGAATAGAATTTCTTAAACCACATTTATAGGGCCCCCAAATAGGTCAATTGCGATTGAAAAAACCAACAGTTGTCGGTTCTTCGAGCTTTATGGCGGACCCATTGCTACTTCAGCTTATTGATCTGTTGGGCTATGTCCGTTATTCTCATTCTACTGCAAACTCCGAGCATGAACCGATCCGTAGCTCGCTGAGCGCCCCTGAGCTTCCTCCTATAGCCAGTGGCGAAGAATCACGTTCTAAATTCGTAAGTCATAACTGGCAATACGAACTGTTTGTACACACTTGGTTTTTAGTTTTGAATAATACGTGCTCGTGCATCGATGAATTTCATCGATACATGATTGTGCTTTAATTAATTAAAGCTGTGAATATATTATCAGCAACATAATAAGATGAGTCACTGTAACACTTAATATGAAATTCACGTCAATGGAGTATCCGTTATGCAATATCACCTATAATTAATGATTTTGTAAATAAAATGCATTGAGGATATGACCAACATTAGTCATTTCATTGCTTAATGTTAGTAATTTCTAAAGTTATTTGTCATATACTAAGAATTCTAATGTTTATCTTCGTTAAAACAAGCTAATAGCTAACTGAATGTTGGTAGATGGTATCACATAAACAATTAAATATGAGGATACTCGTAAGCTCTAATAATTCTTATACAAGAATGTCGAAACAACTTATTATAACTATGTACAAATAAAGATCTCAAGCAAAATTAACTGCAGCCAAATAATTGTTGGACTAATAATAGTGAATCAACTAGTGTAATAAAGGTCTTAAAATGCTATAATTATCTATTGCATATATTCAGAGGAGTATTTTACAGCACGCAGTCTAGTTATTAATGGACAATAATTACGTAAGAAATAATTGGAACTATAACCTAATTTAAATTATTATTAGCCTATAAAACAACTAACAGTCGAATAAAGGTCGCAGTCTCACATACTTTGGGATGCATTGATAGCAACGCTTGGCAGGGAGTGCAACGAAAACGGTACAAAGCCTTCGGACCTAATTCTCGTCCTCGTTGGTGGTTTGACAGGTGATTATTTTTATAGAAGTAAAGGCAACAAACGAGTAGGCAGTCAACCTCATAGTAAACGGATGCAAGACACCTAAAGTTTATTCTCGATTAAGAATCAAATGCAAATACAGTGCTAAGATGAAATACTCGTTACCAGTAAAAAGGTGTCCTGTTTTAAGGTCTTTTGAATAATATTTTAAAGTAGTATGCAATAAAATGTCTTACATTATTAATATGCTAGATATAATATTATTCAGTATAAGTATTCTTGTATTACAAGAATTTAAAAGTCAGACAACGAGACTACTTATTGTTGATCTTTAATACAAGTGAGAGGTGATAATGACCATATAGTCTACCTGATGGTTAATGGATGCTAGCCCAGACATTTATCCTCGATTAAGAATCAAAATGCTGCTAGGTTGTCATCCACGAAGGCTAAGATAAGTTCTGACAGAGTTTTCGAAATGTGGCCTTTGCTCAGCTGTAATAAAAGTGCGGAGTGGCTCTACCATTTACATATCTGGGGGCAAGGCAGTGCCCCGCCAAGTCGAGCAAAAAACAGGACGGCCGTACCAAAACCCTATAACTTCGTTGTGGATAAGACTAGAAGCCTGAATTTTCAGTAACCAAGTAGGCATTGTAAAATCTCGGTATATTTCAAATTTCATTACATTTGAACCAGTAGTTTAAGAATTATAACTAGTCAAAGTTTCTTAATTTTGTTACTCACTGACTTCAAAACTCTAAGGCACTTTAGCAGACATAGAAGCTTCAAGTTTGGAATACAATTATTGTTGAGTATATAAATCAAGGAAAAATTAAAATATTTTACAATTTCGGTCCAGTTTTCCAGATACACCAACTGCATAAATAACTTTGTAATCCCATATAAATATATAGGATTACAAAGTTACATTTGCAGTGAATGAATCAGTGGATCTATATATGTATAATATAATGGAATAATAGGTGTAGATAGGTACCTAGATATAACTCTCTACAAAAAGAAATGAGATGCCATCAAAAACATAACTTGTAAAAAAACCAAGTCTCGCAACTTAGTTCTTCTACCGTAAAAAGTTGTGAGATCCATTGTAATATAAGTCGGTTAATTTATTCAGTCCCTACTTAAGGCTCCTTCTGTATTAAGTAATTACGTAATTAGCTAGCCTAACAACATCTTATAGCGACCATATCAATATTTAAAATCTTTTATATTTTAAATAAATAAATTGACTTGGCAATCGCACTAAACAATCTAATTTAATATAATATGTATTACTTGAGAGATACATTGTGTTTTCTTGACACAACAACAACAAGTCTCGCAGACTTGTTGTTGTTTTTTTTACAAGTTATGTCTTTGATGGCATAGTATATACATGTCAATATAGTTTTTTTACATTTGAAACGATTAAAAAAAAAGGAAAAGTTCTATGTTGTCGCCGTATATTAATTTGTATGTTTGTATGTGCGCGATTATTTCAGAAACTACTTCACAAGCTTTTATGATTTTACCACTATGGTACTCCTTTTTAAAAGGCCGGCAACGCATCTGCAATTCCCTCTCTGGTGTTGCAGTTGTTCATGGGCGGCGGTAGTCACTTACCATCAGGTGAGCCGCATGCTCGTTTGCCCCCTCTCCAATAAAAAAAAATCTACTTATAGTATAGTTCTAGTTCTTTTTAATTCAATTCATTTACACGTTTACAATTAAACAGACAACTCTTCTCAACTCAGAACATAATGTTGTTATTATCTTTTTTTAAACTTAGAAATGTATATAATTAAAATAACAAAAGGCCGAATCGTCATAAAATCATCTCATCATATTAACTGACATGTAAATACATCGAGTAGTTTTAAATTAAAACGATGAAGGGCGGTAATGATGACGATGATAAATATTGTGATTAACTTCTTTCAAGCTTTAAATCACAAAAGGCCAAACGTATAACACGTATTATACGTTAAAAACAACCTACATGCAGTTTCACCAAAATTTGGGAATAGGGATTGCCTATTACATAGGTAACTTCCACTAAATTCCTAGGCATAGAAATAGATATAAATATGAAATGGAAAACACACACTCCGATAAGACTTACAAAGGTATCACATTATAAAATTGTATTAATAACTTATAGCGGCTATATTGCGTCAATGTTAAGGTAATATTATATATAATATTACCTTATATAATATATAGGTAATATTTTAGGGCAACTGTGCGGATAAAGAAACTATATTTAAAACTCAGAAAAAATTCATTAGAGCGATATTCGGGCTTAAAAATACTGATAGTTGTAAACCGTACTTTAAAGAATACAAATTTTTTTCTAGCATTTCCTAGCTTATATATATGAAGTAGCAACATTTGTGCATTCAAACCTGTCAGTATTTACCTCGAGCGAAAAAAGAAAAACTCAACTTTTGAAACATAAAATTGTTAGTGCACCAGCACTATTATTATATAACAGCTCGTCTTATCTACAAATATCATTTGCCTAACAATATTGAAGAAAATGAAATTGAAGATCTTACAAAAAAAAACATAAAGCTCTATTAGTTGTAAAATTTTACTACTTAATGCAATACAAAAAGAAAAAGATTTTTTTGTGTTTATTTATAGTTAATGACTGACTTCGTAATTGGTAATAGTTTGACATCTCAGTTATTATTACTTAACTAAATTATTGTTATTCGGACAATTTAGTTCCATTTAAATATTTGTATGCCAATTGGTAGATGATATAGAACACAATAAGAAATTGTTAACATCTTTAAATGTATTACTTGTGATCGACAAATAAACGTATTATTATTATTATCACACACACACGGTACAAATCAACGTGTAAATACAAAAGTATTGGTAGAAGAAGTAAATAAATCTGGTTCTACTTGACATCTTGTGTATAAATATTTATAGTGTGCATTCTTAATAGATGATTGCGTAATATTCAGAATATATTTATTATCAGAAGAATTATTATTATCTCAAATCACTTTAAGTGTCGAATATCTTCGGGAAAATTCGGTCATCATGGCCTTAGACAGATTTCATTTACTTGGTTGTTATGGAAAACAAAATGGATTGATATTTGCACAACAAACTGCACCCATTTGTGGAATGCTTATTTCTAATAGTATGTATATGTATAAAATAATAATAGAAATAAATTGACGTACATACGTATCTGTTTTTACAGTTACGAAAACGCAACAAAAGGATGATCGGGAGAAGAAGCCTCAGTCAGTTCGTGATCTGTTTAACACAACCTCTTGCATTCCGCCGCCATTCAGATGCCCTCATCCACAAATGCAGTTTTACCTCTATACAAGGTAACGTAAGAAATATATATATATATATATATATATATATATATATAAGCACTCTATATATATATATATATATATATATATATATATATATATATATATATATATATATAATTATATAGAGTGCTTATTGAGACATACCCACAATCGAACTATTTTTATGAGAAGTGATATATGCATAAATCTGAGTATAGTCCAAGCCTCGAGAACCCCGCGTAACTCGCGATGTACAGCACCGGAGCGCCATCGTCAGCATCGCCGTACTCCACTATTATTTTTATTCAATTCTGTACTGCTATGAGGAATTTGAAAAAAAATTATTCATAGAAAGAACACAACTGAACAGCAGCTCTCTCGCCTCCTTTACATCCATATATCTACGCATACACGCTCGTCGGTTAAGGGTACTTCAAATCTGGCTCATTTTTAATGTATCGCCGATTTGGTCGATAAACCTTCGTCTAGGGCAGGGGTCGGCAACCTTTTGAGTCGGAAGAGTCAAAAATTACAATTTACAAAATTTCTAAATTTTTAAAGAGCCACAAATTTTTTTCTTGCCAACAATAAATAGTACTTGCACAAATAAAGTTTTTTGATAAAAAAACTAATCTATTTATTCCTAAGAAAAATAGATATTTATTCATATATAAATAGTGATTGTCACAATAAATTAGAATATAATTTCTATTATTATCTATTTATTAGATTATATATGGTATTATTATATAAACACTTATTAGTTAAGTAAAAAATTAAAACAATTTAACATTTATTTACATTATAAGTCTTACAACACTAACTTGTACTTCAATAACAAACAATCTAGCAAACAAATTCAATGGGAGCTTTGGCTTTGTGTGGTTATTCAAGTAGAAAATTTAAACTTTACTAAACAATTTAACTTTTACTTAAAAACAAAAAACAATAACATACATTTAAGCAAACAAATTCAATGGAAGCGTTGGCTTTGCATGGTTTTAGAAAGTTTGGATAAATTTGGCTCATAACTTATTGTTTTAAGTTTCAAACACGACCCTAAATTTTCATTTATTAGTTGGCTTCTTACTTTACTTTTAATTATATTCATGCAAGACAACGCTCGCTCGCACGAATATGTCGATCCGAAGGTAGTCAGCACTCCAAATGTCAACTTCTTAACCTCACTGTAGCAATCTGGAAGATTATTCCATGCGTCGAATATAAGTGCCTCAACTCGCGGCATTTCTTTTAAAGCTGTTCATTTTTGTTGCGTTACGTACATACATTTCTGGACCTCCAACTCTTTCAACTTACTTTTCAACTCTATAAATTTTCAACACCACAAAGCTTTACTTTTTAAATTGATCCAGTATCAACTCCAAATAGTTCAGTGTGGATCGATTTTTAAATAATTTTTTTTTCTAAAATAAATAATATTTGCGTATGAAACTAAAGAGCCACAGCTTCACATCCAAAGAGCCGCATGTGACTCGCGAGCCGCAGGTTGCCGACCCCTGGTCTAAAGCGTCCCTTCCCGACTCTGCCGTTCTGTAATATCATTTTTGTCTTTATTGATTAATGACTCGATTAATCAAAATAATATTAAATTTACTGTACACATACAATCTAGCAATATCAAAGATAATTATCAAGCTGAGAATGAATTCGTAAATCGATAAAAGATACGTGTCCCAAAATTCAACCTTAAGCGGGCACCATGGAGTGGACAAATTGATGACTACCCAGGATAAAAACTGCCATTTTTAAATTTATTATACCTTTTTTTGAATACGTTTAAATTTGAAACGCTATACAATATTTTTAGGTATTATGACTACAAATTTTAAATTATCAATGTTAAGAATCAAACACAATTATTAATTATTATCCTTGTAAACGTTATTGTGTGCCCCAAAAACAGGTTTTGGGTTACAGATTCAGGTAGACAAGCGTCGTCAATATTTTTTATATGTTTTTTTATTATATATATTAGATTTTTGAAGTGCAATTGAGATTAAATAGTTAGTTAGTTACTTACACCATTGGTAAGACTGGGACAGTTAGTTGTTTAAATGAAACTAATGATATGAAAATGAAACATTTATTATGTAAGTCCATCAAATAAAATTCGTAAGCTCATATGGGTCCTTAAAAATTTAAGACACATCACCTCCCAAGACCTCCTAAAGCATATTATCTACTTTGCTTTAACACTATCTATCATGACGTATTGCATTTCCATCTAGGGTGGTGCCACAAAAATAAAATTTCTTGAAGCAGAAAGAGCCCAGAGGTGCTTGCTAAAGGTAATGTTCTTTAAACCATTTAGATTTCCTACCGAGGAATTATATCTAAATCATAATATATTGTCGATTAGAAAACTTTATATTATCAACTCCGTACCTAAACTATATAAAACGTTCCCTTACGTACTCATTCTTCAAATAGGTAGAAGACAGCGTAATGTGGCCCCTATGCCTACATGTAGAACTCTTTTTGCCAGGCGTCAATTGCAAGCCCACTCTGCCTACCTTTATGATAAGCTTCACAACAATTATAAAATATATAACCTTCAATTCCATAATTATAAAAAAAACATGAACTCAAGGACTGGAGACGCTTGGATACTGTGACACAGAGGACTTACTATTTGAATATGAATATTAGGCTAGACAAGATTTCTAGTGGTTGACTTACCGATCCCAAGATATTATATTGTAGGGCTAGAAGTTTTGACAAAAGCATCATTTGTCAGGATAAGAAAGTATGTTCTAACTATCATATAGGGGTCATAATCAGAACACGTGAAAAAAGTGTGCATTTCATATATTCATTCTAAAAAAATATTATTTCATAATAAATTCATTATGTATGTATAATAGAGCATCCTTAGAAATTTAAAATGTAAAGATCATCCACATAAATTACCTTACTATACTTTTAAAAAAATCAAAATCAGCCATTTCACACCCTTCCGTGGACCGTGTCCTTATGATGTTCGTGTGTTTGAGTGTAAGTTAAAAATACTACAAATTGAAGAAAAATATTTAAATATATTCTGGATTATTATTAACATACTTATGTTAAAGTTTCAGAGCATCGCAATAAATAAAAACACATAAAGTAAAAGTTAGAAACCGATAAACGTGGTGTGTCAAATTGTGCGACGCCTCCCGTGGACCAACAAAAATATCATGTCACGGCTACGTAAAAAAATCTACCATTGAAGATTATTTTATTTCACTGGCAACATTTCTTGCTGTCATCTGAAGCAAAAGTTTGACATCAGTGCGAATAACTTACGACGAACGATTGCATTTGTTTCAAGAATAAAGTGATAAGTTATTGGTTTTGTCAAAGACCGTTGCAACTTTTCGGTTCCAGGAATATTTTGGTAAGTGAAATACGTAAAAATCATTTTCAATTATAGAGTTTCGTAAGCTGGGGCACTTTTGTCAAAGATAACATAGAGGCGTTCCTAACCTCAAAAATCTGTGAGTTGCATTTATTTTTTTTGTTGCACGACCCTTCCGTGGACAACTTCCAGGTGGACACCATGTCCACGGAAAAGACTATGTCTACAGAAGTGACGCTGGGATGATTGCTGTACTGATGTTACTTCGCGGAAATCCATATCTGAACAATTATATGGTGCAATGATATTATTACACTTCGTAATATTTTTTTATTAATATTCTACCTCTTCCTTTTCCATTCTATGCTATGGTCTGTTTGTGGGCTTGTGGGTTTGAATGTAAATATGCATTTTTATTGCTTGTACAGGTAATCATGCCAAGAGTAAGTAGATCAACATCTCAACTAAGTGATGATGAAAAAAAGAAGAGGCGGCGTGAACAGAAAAAGCTAAGTATGCGAAGAGCGCGTGCAAAAATGGATGAAGCTGCAGTTGCAGAAGTTCGTCGAAAAGATAGAGAAAGGTACTACAAGAAAAAAGAAAAAGGGGAAATAAAAAAGATAGATCAGTATACTCCAAGAGAACAGCGCCAAATAAGAAAATTATGGCGGGAAAAGTCTCAAAAGAGACGAGATATATTGAAGATTAGAAAAAGAACTGCTCTTCTAATCGAAGAGAATACTCCACCTTCAAGTCCAGCACCAAGCACTTCTTCATCGTTTTCACGTGTGAATGCTGGTAAAGCGGTAGCAGATCGCAACAAAAGGGCAATGAAAAGAGAAAACATCACTTTGAAGACAAAAGTTTTACAAATGAATCAAAAGTTGAAGAAATACAGAATGCGTATAAAAAGACTTGAAGAAAAACAAAGAAAAGAAACAAACCAAAGAGAAATAGAAAAAAGGACACAAAGACGTAATGTAAAACAAGCTATACAAGAATTTTTAACACAAGACGAATATAGTCGGCTCACTTCTGGTAAAAAAGAAACAATTACTAGAAATAAAAATAAAAAACAAATACGACTGCTCAATGACACTCTTCTTAACTTGCACAAAGTTTTTAAAAATAAAACCGGCATTCAAATTTCTTACCAAACCTTTCGAAGATACCGCCCGTTTTGGGTGGTTTTTCCAAAAGTTTCTTCACGAAATACGTGTCTGTGCATAATACATGAAAATAATGACCTATGTGTTAGAGCTCTACAAAAGGCTAAAATTTTATCATATGGCACTCCTTCCGATGTAGCGAAATCATTGTGCTGTCAGAATACATTTAATTTAAAATGTTTAGAGCGAGTATGTAAGGATTGCCAAGATAAACAGATAAAATACAATAATTACGATAAAGATGACTCTATAACTTATGAAAGATGGATAACGAAAAATGAAAAGATAATTATAAAAGGTAAGGAAAAAATATGCAAAAAGTCCATTAAAGAAACGGTAAAAACGACAAATAAATCACTTGTACAGTTATTACACTCAAACTTACCAGTTTACATGAAACACGTGGGTAATTTCATACATCAGGTCAGGACAATCCACACCCTTAAAGAAAAACTATCTCCTTTTGAAGGTTTATTGCATATCGATTTTTCGGAAAATTACAACTGTAAGTACAGCGCTGAAATTCAATCCGCTCACTTTGGTGGATCAAAAAGGCAGTTGTCACTGCATACGTGCGTATACTATAATACAGATTTTCAGTCACCAGATAGACATTTAAAGACAACATCAATATGTACAATCTCTGAAAATTTGAGACATGACCCTGTGTTTATATGTGTGCACCTTCAGCCTGTATTGCATAGAATTAAAGAAATAAGTCCAGAAATTACGGAATTACATATACTCAGTGACGGACCATCGACACAGTACAGGAATAAATCAATGTTTCATTTGATTGCGAATTACATAAGCGACGAATTAGGAGTGAACACCATTATTTGGCATTATAGTGAAAGGGGTCACGGCAAAGGCGCTCCAGATGGGGTGGGTGGATGCGTTAAAAGATTATGTGATAACTCAGTTGCAATGGGTAAAGATGTTTCGAGCTACAATGGTCTAATGAAGTGTTTGAAAGAAAACTGCAAAGGGATAGAAATTTACGGAATTGATGATTCTGAAGTGCCAAAAATACAGAGTATATTGGATAAGAGTACAACGAAACCTTTCAAAGGTACATTCAAAATACACCAACTTATTTGGAGTCGATGGACACCAAATGTAATGCACGCAAGGAGGTTAAGTTGCCTAGAATGCGAAGCAGATAAAAATTGTATTCATTTTGGAATGGGACAGATAAAAATTCAATATGATACATCTAATATAAATCCTAGATCACCAGAGTCAAGTAGAGGCAGTGCATCACCAAATTACAATGTAGCTACACCTGATGCTTCAACTGTAACCATGTCATCTAATCCACCGTTTTCACCAGAAAGTCCGCCAGGTACACCAGATAATAATGTACAGTTACAAAATTTACTTTTGTGTCCAAAAAAGAAAATAACCACTGAATCTGACAATTCTGATAGCTCGGACAACATTTTTAGCCCCCCACCAGCTAAACGACCTCGCCGTTTAATTATACCCGATTCAGACAGCGAAGAAGACGAATCTATCTTCTAATATGTATTTTGATTAAGCCAAAAACTAATTATTAAAGCTAATAGTGATTTTTTTACTAAGATTGGTAATTATATCATTTCAACCGATTTTAAAGATTAACGTTGATTTTCAAAACTCTACAAATAACTAACTAACTAAGTGCAGCAATGGTACGTAAGCCGTTTATTTGTTAAATATGAGACAAAAACAATTGAAGTCCACAGAAACTGCTTTCTGTGGACATTTTTATTTTATTTTCTAAGTGCCAAAGTTTCATTTATTTTTTCTTGTTTTTTTTTGTCATACAGTTAAGTACACTGTTGCTGTTGTCCTTGATTAATATTTAAGAAGAAATGTAACACTTTTGTTGGCAAAATGTACAACTATTGTCTTTTCTGTTGATTTTGTAAACTTTTCGGTGGACACAAAAATACCTTAAATGTGCTCTAGATTGACAAATACTTTAATTTCATCTCAGTTAACATTTTTGTATACTCTCTTTTGTACTTTAAAAAATACATATTGATTTTAAAAGAAATTCATGTAATTTTTTATTTTCTTCTTTTCTAAAGTTCGATTTGTTTATGACCCATAGGCCCCATAGTTATCTTACATGTAAACTTATGGTTACTCACTGGTCCCAAGATATAATATCGTAGGGCTAGTATACACTATACACTATTCCAGTTTTAATGTACACAAACTATATCATAGTTTCGTAAATATAATAATTCTAACTCCTAGGTTAGGGACACTCCTCACACTCTACACACACTTTAAACATACACAATAGGTACACTTACACTATACACACATTACGCACATACTTTATACACATACCCTTATAAAATATTAGTTATCATAATATATATTATTAAGTATAAATAAGTTAAATGTAATTATAATCCATGGTAAGAGCAGAACCTCCCAATACAAGCATTTTTACATGCTTTCTGGGTGGTTCTGACCACGGAATAATACTGTAACTAATCAACGAGAAGGAAATAAACTATTTTTAATTTAATTTAATTTATTACCTCAACGTTAAAAAAGTATTTAAGCGATGAAAAAAAAAACATAATATATTAATTACCATATTTTGTAAATTTCCAGAAGTACTCAAGAAAAGGGAGAATTACTTAACACCTTAGACAACAACTCGCTGACATATTCAAGATTTAATACGAAGTATCCAACGAAAATCGTCGTTCATGGTTTCGGCGGTGGCAGGAACCTGTCGCCTAGTACAGATATGAGGAAAGCGTATTTCACACGAGGAAATTACAACATTATCATAGTTGACTACGGCACCCTAGTCAGAGAACCTTGCCTGAGTCAGGTTGTTAAGCTTTCTTCTTTCTTCTACCTCATCTGTCCGTAAAAGTCTAGAGCTGGAAATCAGTCTCACGGATGATTCCATAATCACCACGCTTGACATACTCATTACATAACCAGCCGTCTCACAGCTTCGCTGCTGCTCCCCGCCGCCGCGCCGGTCTTATGTACTTTACGTCTGGCGTAAATGGAATAGCTACACGGCCATCTTTCCGAAGCTATGAGATTCCCCATCACCACTTCCACGATCTTTGTCCCTTCGTGAAATGGGGTTAATTGTTCTCTTCCGCGACCACACAGCCAATTAAACGTTTATCTTATTTTCAATCAAATCTGAAAGTTATTCTTTCCTTTCCCTACTTATAATTTTTTTTAACTGGCAAGAATATATCTTATTTAAATATACTTTTCTTATCTAATCTTAGCTATTTTAATTCTTTTATTTTTACTAAGAATTTTAGAAAATAAAGATTATAGAAAATGTTAAAATATTTCAAATATTGTTCTCATGATTTTCATGTGTTTACTAAAACATTTTATATTTATCGCAAGATGTCGCTAAAACAAAATAAGTTCACATTAAGTTATTGTAAATGTTGGTGAACGGATGGATGGCGTATCCTTTTTAACTTGCAATATTTTATAATAAAATTTATTTTCTAGATAGAGTGGGCTCCTCGCTTCGCAAGCATGTGTATAGCACAGCTTGTGGACTACCTGCAATACCATCCCGTGAAGCCTGTAGCCCCGGAAAGAATCCATACTATCGGTTACAGTGTTGGAGCACACATCCTTGGACTCGTCGCAAATCATCTGAACGAGGGAAAATTAGGGAGGATAACTGGTAAAAATATTAATAAAATTATAAAGACAGAGGGGAAACTGAAAAAGGAGATGGGCAGCAGCATCTCCTGGTAAAAACCCAAAGTAAAAAATAAAAACTGGCGCTGCCAACCCACATGTCAGACGTGGCAACTAAGGAAAATTTCTCCTCTATGAGGATGTCTACGGGGGAAGCCTATGTTCACCAGTGGACTTTTGATAAGTTGCTTAGAATGAATAAATAAATGAATTAATAGTAAAAGTTATTGTGCGTTATTTAATTTATATATATTAAACTATAACTAAAAATTATATATATCAAGGTAATTCACAATAATAGATAAAACAATATATTACCGGACAGATGAAGTTGTAACCTTGAATCTGCCCAAACCGTAGAAATAATAATTGACTATATATTAAAATGGGGCTGAACGTAAGTTAAAAAGGATTTTTTTGTAAATCGTATGAATCGGCAGCGTCCTTTCAGACACGCAGACAAAAATTCGAAAGAATTTTCATGTTGGCTTCTACTTTTAAATTTTAGACCTTACTCTTAATACTCATTTTTAGGGATCCGTATCCAAAAAAAAAACGGGACCCTATTACTAAGCCACCGCTGTCGGTACCGTCCGTCTGTCTGTCAGCGGGCTGTATCTCATGATCCGTAATAGGTAGATAGTTGAAATTTTTACAGTATGTGTATTTCTGTTGCTGCTATAACAACAAAGAATAATAATTAAAATAAAATAACAATTAAAAGGAGGATCCCCTACTAGAAACGTGTTTACTATACTACGTGATTACTAGCGTACAGAACCCTGATGCGCGAGTCCGACTGACACTTTGGCGGTTATTGTGTAAGTTACACATAATAATTTTCTACCGGCTTACTTTTTCTTTATCAGCTCATAGAAATCTACTGCTGGTTGTAGACCTTTCTCGTTTGTAAAGAAGATTAGTCAGGCGACTTGACGATACACTGCACATAGTCGCCTATTACAATACCCAAGGGTACTATCTATTCTGTGCCAAGGGACAAAATAGGGTGATGGATCCTTTTATACCGTCACCACACGGAAAATTTTGTATGAGAAATCTGGTTAATTAAATAATTCCATAAACAAAATAAAGCCTGCTCGATAGATTTATATTTTATTGCATCAAATTATTTTTCGTAAAATTTTATTGAAAATTTTACAATTGCAGGTTTAGATCCCACTATTTTCTTTTACATGGGAAACAATCGCTCCCGAGACCTAGATCATACCGATGCTTTATTTGTGGATATTCTACACACGGGTGCGGGAATTCTGGGACAATGGGGACCTAATGGACACGCTGATTTTTATGTCAACGGAGGTTCTAGCCAACCTGGATGCGCTCATGACACTATTTTCCGTAAGTTGTTTTTTTAATTACAAAATATTTTTACAAGCTTTTATTTAGTTATTGTTTAATCATAATATGAGCGTATCGAAAGGATTTGCCATTTAAAAACTTCCTAGTTTTAAAACACTCGAAATAATAGTTTTGGTGATCTCATTGCCAATCCACCAAAATTTTTAATCAATATTATGCGTTAATATATATATTTTTTAACTATTAATTTTATGTAAGACCACTTTACTTAATTGTCTTTTTAAGACATAACATCCGAAATTTTATTTTTAAATCCGAATATTATTTGCATTGCTAGTGCCATCTATGATAATAATCATTGTACTATGTTAGAATTTGAATGCTTATAATGATGTTTTTTTTTAAATCTCAGCAAAGTTTGACTATTAAAAATTTCTTATCATTAATATTACTTTCTCCCAAATTATTAATATAAACCTATCTTATTATATAGTCTGCACTTACTGCGAACCAGTGCTGAACAAGTGCCTCGCCTAAAGTTAATTGAGGTAGATATGTTTTATCTACAAAAATCTCAGATGCAAATTACAATTTTCTGCTTTTAGAAACACTGTCATGTGACCACACAAAAGTGACTCCGTACTTTATAGAGTCAATAAATAGCCCTGTTGGTTTCTGGGCAGGGCCATGTCCAAACCTTTTGTCATACCTCATCGGCTGGTGCGAACCCAAGGACACCGAATATGTCCTTATGGGTGAACATCTTACACACAGGTAATACTTAATGAAAGATAATTAAAACTATATTCGAATCTTCCTTTTTTAAACTTATGTTTTTAAGATATGTAAAACGACAAAACTGAACACGATGTCAAATAGTCATACATATAACATTTACTGAATTGCGCTGTTAGGCAAATTTTATTAAAAATTGTTTCTCTCATTTGTTGAAATTTAAACTTACTAGTTATTGCAGTAGCTTCGCTAACATGGCCATTAATTTATTATTGTTGAAATAGTCGTTGTAATTTCTTCGCTTGCAGTTCCAAATGTCTTGTGACGTACATACATAAACACTCACGCCTTTCACCCCGAGGGGTAGGCAAAGACTATGGATTTAGATATGGCACGATCCTGACACACCTCTCTCGCTTCCTCCACACATCCATATACCTACGCATACATGCTCGTCGGTTAAGGGTACTCTTAATTAGGTCCATTCAATATATCGCCAATTTGGTATCGATAAACTTACGCTTAGGGCGTCCCTTTTCGACTCTACCGTTCACTTCTGCAACATAAATTTGCTTTGTCACTCTTTCCTCATTCATTATTTCTACATGACCAAACCACCGAAGCGTTCCTTTCTTAATTCTGGTCACATTATGACGTTTACTGGCGTGAACAAATGGTTAAACTGCCATTTGTCGGAAGACATAAAATCTGGCTGGATAATCCCATAGTCACCTCTTACAATACCAGCGTACATGCGTGAATGGGGTGATGAATTTTCTAACTTTGCCATCGCATGAAAGTTTTGGAGCTTCAATGTTTTAAGGTAATATATCGACAAAGTTGGAAAATAAAAAAAAATGATAAAATCTCTATGGAGATAAAAGAGTTTACCACTAAATTATAACATCAAAATAGATTCGATGCGCCATCTATGTCAAAGTCATAATACCACGGAAAATGTGCAAAAATCTCCCAGCGTTGATATATACAATGCCTACAAGATGGCGCTGCTACCAAGTATTATCAAAATAACCGATGAACTGATTCCCATCCCTTTTATTATTTCTTTTTTTTACAGTGTGTTGGCAACCGCAGTTTTTTAATTTTTAGTTGTTATTAGAAAGAAAATAGCTTCAAAAAACGTATTATAATAGGTGGTCGGTATAAGATGTCAGCAATCACAAATTTTACATAGAACAGAGAAAGTAAAATTTATTCATCTTTAATTATTATTTATTTCTCTAAACTGCCAGTAATATATTTTAAATGGATTATTTTACAGGGCAAGGGGCGTCTACTATGTGACAACAAATGCAAAACCACCTTATGCTCGAGGATTTCCTGGAAAGTCGAGGCGCTTAAGATCAGTCACACCATACAGTTGATTTTAGAGATTCAGTTATTAATTATAAATAAAAACTAGTTCATCGAAACCAATGCCAACGACAACAGATGTAATCATTCAACAAAAGTGTCATATTTCGTCAGCCTTATATACATAAGTTTACGTATTGTTATTTCAAAATTTCTTACTTTGTATTATTTTTTGAACTATGGTGTCTTTTTCGTTTGAATTGAATGAACAAGGATAGCTTTACTACTATAATTTTATGTTAGAATTATAAATAATTTGTGTGGTCATAGTAGCACTTGCACCAAACTGCACGCCTTTCGTAAAAGTTGAAAACTTTGAAGATGCGATGTTTAACATACAAACCGTGTACATGAATTATGAAAGTCTCGTCATCATTGAAATATCATTTCAGGAAAAATTTGTTCTGGCATTAGATTTCTTTTATACAAGAAACAATATACTGGGTTTGTATGTGAACATAACATTTTATAGCTATATAAAATTATGGAATATTTTTCTTGCCTCCGTATAATTAAGCAATGTACGGATTTTGTGATTTTTTTGTTACCTCTTTCGAGTTTTGTGCCAAAATTAAGAAAAGAAAATGGCACTTATGTGATCACTTTGGTATGTATCACAGACGTTTTTTCACAGAGTACTTGATGTAGACGATTGAGAAGCGGCATAGTTATAATAATACAGACGTACAAAATTGGAATTTTAGAATTAATTCGGACTGGGGAGGTTAAGATTGGTAGCTAAAAAATATTTTTGGATGTTAATCAAAAGCCTTTTCAAGCACCGCCTCAAATAATTTTGAATTCATTATTTTGATTCAATTTTATTTAACATTTCTGGGAATGTCCTTAAAAATTGCAGCATCCAATCGTACTGCTGAAACAAATTAGATAATCACAGATATATAGATAATAAAATATAAATGAATAAAACAAAAATTTCAGAAAATATAGTTATTTTAATGTATGTTAAAAAATTGCTGTCAACCATATTAAACAACAGCTGTTCAGAAAAGTTTATCAAAAGTTACGAACATTAAAAAATGTATGTAGGACGAGCCAAATTATTCCCAGGTAAAAGTTCAGCAAGCGCGTTTAAATTATCTAATCATTTAGGCGTATCACACCTAATCATAAGCCAGTGTTAAACTACATTTCCACATGATGGTGAGTGGTGAAGAAGTCATAGATGGTAAAAACACTAGCTTATTCCCCTTCTTTCAAGACACGGAAAATTATTGTGCATGTATGACATGCACCTGACCGATTTATTTTGTACTATAGTTAGCAAATTAATAGCAAATGTAGGAAAATATGTTTTCGATGCAATTGTATTTTGGTATAAGGATAATTATATAAATATTATTTATTAAACTGGTACAGTGTTGTCATTTATTATCACTTCAATAACAACGAAAGTTATCTTATTAATAATGGCGTTATAAAATTTCATCTTTATAATCATCAGTCAGTAAATTAAATTACTCGTATATAATCCCCATAAATGGTAAAGAAGATTTGTGTCGATACGAGCGGACTAGCGATTGCAGCTAGGTCTGTATATACTAGTACCTAGACCTTTTAATACGAGTCCCGGATTATAGTTTCAGATTTTCGGTATTTACTGTTGGCCACCCAAAAGTTACGAGTATAAGCCCATTCTATATGGCTCTTTTTATTTATTATTTCTTAAAATAAAATAGTTAAAGCTAACAAAGTTTTTTTTTCTAAATAAGCCGGTGCTTAGCACATAGCACATGATGGTGAGTGGTGAATCAGTCATAGGTGGTAAAAAATACTTGCCTGTTTCATTTCGCTCTTTCCTTGAAAAATTTTACTTTTAAATTAGATGGAATGAGAAACGCTGGAGAATATTCCATTCTATTTTTTAGGAATATTGGTGACAAACGAGCACACAGCCCACCCGGTAGTAAGTGAATGTTGTTGCTCATAGATATTTATTTAAATCTTTTAACGGTGGTAGAGCCACGCAGCAGTTTTTGCTGTTGCACGTATGGGCCGGCTCGAGACGGGTTGATACCACGACCTCATAGAATACCGGCGTGAAGTAGAAGCTCTGCTTCTGCGTTTCGTTTGGTGCGTGCAGGTGACAGGAGGCCCAATTCCCCCCCCCCCCCCCCCCCCATCAACATGGTAGCGGAATTACACGATAGACTACCCCAGGAGGGTACCAGTACCCCTGGAGAATCCCTCGCTGAGCATCCACGACCATGTTATTCCAATCCTGAGTGTGGGTGCTCAGGCTGCCCCGCGCATTCTGGGGGGGAGGGGGGGCAAAATTCCGCTCAAAAACATAACTGCTCGGGGCAAACTGAGCAACAATACCAAGGTGACCCCTGCCACGCTATCCGTGAATTTCTGCAACATCAGGGGACTTCACTCTAACCTAAACGCCGTCCACTACCATTTCGAGACGGCGAAGCCGGCTCTTTCTGATCGAGACGCAGGTTTCCTCTCCGGCTGATATTTCGTATCTCTCCTACCCGGGGTACAAATTGGAGCACTCCTTTGTGCCTCGGGCTGGAGTTTGCGTGTATGTCAGAGAGGACATCTGTTCTCGACGCCAGCAGTCTTGAAGGTTCGGACCTGTCCATTCTTTGGCTACGCGGAGACAGCGACGACCATCCGCGCGTCTACGGGTGCCTCTATAGGTCCCATAGCGGTAATGTCGAAACAGACCGACTCATCGACCACGTCCAAATGGCTACAGATTCCTTGCTACAACAGGTCCCATCCGCAGAGATCGTGATCCTTGGCGATTTTAACGCTCACCATGCCCAATGGCTCGGTTCACGTTTAACCGATGATGCGGGGAGATCTGTTTGTTTGACTTTGTTGTGACTTTGCCTTGGCATATGGTCTGACACAACTGGTTACTTCGCCTACGCGGATTCCAGATGTGGAGGATCATACACCTTCCCTGTTGGACCTTCTGCTGACCTCTCATCCGGACGGATATCAGGTTTCCGTCGATGCTCCTCTCGGCTCTTCGGACCATTGTCTGATCCGGAGTATGGTGCCACTCACGCTTCCTTCGCGGTTGCGTTCTGCAGGTTGCCGCCGTGTTTGGCATTACAGGTTGGCAGATTGGGACGGAATGCGGTCTTTCTTTGCATCCTACCCATGGGGGCGGGTTTGCTTCTCGCCGGATGATCCCAGCGCTATTGCTGACTCTGTCACTGATGTGGTGCTACAGGGAATGGAACTATTTATTCCATCATCTGTGGTACCCATCGGAGGCAGATCTTAGCCTTGGTTTGGTCGCTCCTTTACAGTCTTACGACTGCATTACGCAGTAAACAGGAGTGTTATCAAGCCTGGGCTGCGGCTTCGGCGACTCGGGATGTAAACACCAGCACACTTAAAAAGAAGTATAACTTCGCCTCCAGGTCCTTCAAAAGAGTTATTGCCAAGCCAAAGTCAGAGCACATAGGCAGAATTGGCGAGAAACTAGTTCGCCTTCCTTCGGGAACCCGTGCATTCTGGTCTCTCGCCAAGGCTGTCCAAGGGAATTTCTGTAAGCCATCACTACCATCTCTGCACAGGGAGGATTACTCACTGGCCCAAGACGCAACAGACAAAGCCGACCTTTTAGGCTCCCTTTTTGCGTCCAACTCGACTCTTGATGATGGGGGGAAAACACCACCGACCATCCCGCGGTGTGAGTGCTCCATGCCGGATGTGCTGTTCTCACAGCGCTCGGTTCGCAAAGCACTGCTCTCCCTGGACATCCAGAAGTCGAGTGGGCCTGACGGAATCCCCCCAATTGTGCTGAGGGCGTGTGCTCCGGAGTTGGCACCGGTCCTAACGCGTCTTTTCCGGTACTCCTACTCCCAAGGCGTAGTCCCGAATTCATGGAAGACAGCTTTTGTCCACCCGATCCCTAAAAAAGGCGACCGCTCAGACCCATCCAACTATAGGCCTATCGCGATCACCTCCTTGTTCTCCAAAATAATGGAATCCATTATTAACTGCCAGCTCATCCGGTACCTTGAGGATCACCAGCTGATTAGTGACCGCTAATACGGTTTTCGTCGGGTTCGATCAGCTGGTGATCTTCTGGTCTACCTGACACATAGATGGGCGGAGGCAGTAGAGTCCAAGGGGGAGGCGTTGGCCGTTAGTCTGGACATTGCGAAGGCCTTCGATCGGGTTTGGCACAAAGCACTTCTTTCGAAGCTCCCGTCCTATGGGCTTCCCGAGAAATTGTGCAATTGGATCACCAGCTTCCTTGCAGATCGGAGCATCAAGGTCGTTGTAGACGGTGCATGCTCTGACTACAAGCCTATTAACGCTGGTATTCCACAAGGCTGTGTGCTATCACCAACGCTGTTCCTTCTGCATATCAATGATATGTTGCAAACTGGTAATATTCATTGCTATGCGGATGACAGCACTGGTGATGCTCTATACACCGGCCGTGCCAATATTTCTCGGGAAAACGTCGCCGAGTACCGGAACAAACTTGTGTCTGAAGTCGAGTCTTTGCTTAACAAAGTCTCGGAAGTCATCATCATTACAGCCCTTCACAAGTCCACTGCTGAACATAGGCCTCCCCCAAAGAATGCCACAAAGCACGGTCCTAAGCCACCTGCATCCATCGACTTCCTGCATGTCTTACCAGGTCGTCACTCCATCTCGTGGGGGGACGCCCTACACTTCGCCTACCGGTACGAAGCTGCCACTCGAGAACCTTTCTTCCCCATCGGTTGTCGGTTCTTCGAGCTATATGGCCGGCCCACTGCCACTTCAACTTACTAATCCGTTGGGCTATGTCGGTTATTCTGGTTCTACTGCGGATATCCTCATTCCTAAGTTTATCACGCATAGAAACTCCGAGCATAGCCCTCTGCATAGCTCGCTGAGCGACCTTGAGCTTCCTCATACGGCCAGCAGTGAAGGACCACGTCTCAGTTCCGTAAGTCATCACTGGCAACTCGCACTGGTTGTACAATTTCGTTTTAAGGTTTTGAGGTATGTCTGACGAGAAGAT